ATATATATATATATATATATACATATATTCAACTAATGAGACTCCAGGAAAAAAAAATTATATATACCAATGCTATTGAATATAACATCAATGATCAAACTTGCTTGTTCTCTGTTTCAGATATTGATGAGTGCGCTATTTCAAGCCCCTGTAACATGACATGCCTCAATTTACCAGGCACATACAATTGTTCTTGTGCAGTGGGCTACGAAGGTGATGGCAAAAAAAATGGATCAGGTTGCAGTCGAATTGCTGTTCCCAACAAACTTCCCTTGATTATTTATATTTCCTTAGGTAGGTACACGTACACCCACACATGCTATTCATCATAAAATTGTCTACATATTAAATTTTCTATCAAAATTCAACCGATCAATGCTTTTGATTTTGACTCTATCTCTAGTTTAGAGTTTACAGTCCCCAATTATTGATGCACTGATCAAAAACAATTGGAAGATGATATATCTCCAGTTTCCTTGCATCTTTCTTTCAGCAACCTAACGTTTACATAGAAAGCTAAACAACCAATTCAATTCTCTCATCTTATTTTCCATATTATTGTCTTGGTTGTGTTTGGTAAGTCAAAGATGAATAAAATAACGAAAGAGTTGTCAAAGTATGGCTGAAATTGATCCAGAAAATGAAATGTGTTAAACTAGATTCATACTAGGTGTGGTGCATGCTATACACTTCATCTTCCGGGTTTCTACTTTTTCTGTTTGATCATAAACAAATTCTGGGTATTGACATTTCCATTTGAATCCCTACAGGAATTAGCATCGGCATATCACTATTACTTATTGGTGGCTCCTCGCTATATTGGGGATCTAAGCAGAGGAAGATTGCCAACCTTATAGAAAAATTATTTCAGGAAAACGGTGGTATCATGTTACAAGAACTTTCCAAACATGAAGGATTGGTCCAGTCAACTAAAATCTTTACTGAAGAGGATCTAAAGAAGGCAACAAAAACTTTAATGAAAATAATGTCCTGGGCAAAGGGGGCCAAGGAATAGTCTACAAAGGAGTATTACCAGATAACACCATAGTTGCCATTAAGAAGCCCAGAGTAGCTGATCAGAGTCAGTCCCAGATTGAGCAATTCATTAATGAGGTCATAATTCTCTCTCAAGTCAACCATAGAAATGTTGTGAAGCTCTTAGGGTGTTGTTTGGAGACAAAAGTTCCTTTCCTTGTCTATGAATTTATTACCAATGGGACTCTCTATGACCACATACACACTGCATGCCAAAGAGCATCCTCAATAACATGGGAGAATCGCTTAAGAATAGCAGCGGAAACTTTAACAGCCCTTTCATATTTACACTTTGCCGCTAGTACTCCTATCATTCATAGAGATGTTAAGACCGCCAACATACTCTTAGATGACAATTACGTTGCTAAAGTATCAGATTTTGGCTCTTCAAGGTTGATTGCTATTGATGAAACTCAATTAAGCACATTGGTACAAGGAACACGTGGTTACTTGGACCTAGAGTACTTGCAAACTGGCCAATTGACCGAAAAAAGTGATGTTTATAGCTTTGGGGCTGTCCTTGTTGAATTACTAACTGGCAAGAAGGTAATTTCTTTCAGCAGGCCTGAAGCAGAGAGAAATTTATCCATGTATTTTATTTTAGCAATGAAAGAAGACCGCTTGCTTGAAATTGTTGATAAGCAGATGATGAATGATGCAAGGGTTGACAAGTTAAAGCAAGTTGCTATTTTAGCAAAGAGATGCTTAGAAGTGAAAGGCGATGAAAGGCCAAGCATGAAGGAAGTAGCAATGGAGCTAGAGGGATTGAGAATGACAGAGAAACATCCATGGGTAAATGACGTCACAGATTCCGAAGAGACCCAACACTTGCTTGGAGATCAATTCTTAGATGCTTATGGCGGTGAAACTAGTATGAGCAATTCAATAGTTTATGATCGCATGACAAACCATGACATTTCACCATTTAATGGTGGACGATAAGGTGTTTCTGGTGGTGGTCTACGTTCATTATATGTTGTTTGTAATGTTTTTATTTTATCTTTTGTCAAATAATCCCTGTGAGTTGTTTTGAACTTTTGATTTTATGTGTTGAGGTTCAATTTGTTGTGATTTTAGGCATAGTGGTTGTTTATAATGGTAGTTATCAATGCAAAACCTTTCTTTATATCAAATAAATTATGAAAAATGATAATTTTACTAAGTCAGAACACACCTACACATGTACTAAATATGAAGCACCATACATACCCTTTTTGACTTTTCATTTCCTTGTCACAAACTGATCTTGATTTTATCATCATTTAAAGTCCAACTGATGTAGTGGTGTTAGATAATTAGTGTTTGAATCACTAAAATAGTGTCAAATGGATTGGAATGAAAAGATCATTGTCTTAAGCTGTAATGGAATGACCATTCCACATCCTACTGAACAAACATGATTTGTTTGATTTAATTCTGTCGAACATCCCAAAGCTAAATGAAAAAACAACTAAAATCCCCAAGATACTAATTTGTAATTATGTTTCAATTTTAAACAATGAATAACAATTCCAATCAAACAACAAAAAATAAATCGACACAATGATTTAACGTGAAGAAAATCGCAATTAGAACTCCTTCAATTTTGATAAAAAAATTTGCAAGCTAAAGTCATAAAACTATCCACTAAGAAGACAAAAATAAATTACACAAGAGTATTCTCAATTACCTAGTGAATCCACGCTCAAATTAAACCAAACCCGATGTGTCTCTTCTACCACCGTCTTTACCTCGGAATTATTTTGTCCAACGTTGAATCCATAATGCTGATGTCAAATCCATAATGATGAGCCACTCCAGAATCTATCAAAGCTTCAGGCTCAAGTTCTGCGGAATCCACCAAAGAACACTTCTCTTTTGTGAACAAAATAATAAGAACAACTCTTGATGTTTGACAATCTATAGTTTATTGATCAATCGATTACCTTCCATACACCAAGGAAGCTCATATAAAACAGCCTCCAATAGAAAATGCTTTGTCTTTTCTTTCTCTCTAAGATTTTGGACGGTTTAAACCCTAAAAATAGTGAATGACGCACTTTATGGAAAGCAAGGTTACGAAGACCGCTCAAGTGATCAATCAATCGCTCGAGCGAACTCACTAAAACACTTGCCCATCGCTTAAGCCAAGACTCCACTACTCCAGCGCATAAAGGATTCTCTCAGAAGTTTAGTCTATTTTGCAAAAATATTGGATGATGCCTGAGAGGGTAATTTGTGTGATCAACTTGGGCCGAGCTAGGTAACATCATCTTTGAAAGTTGGGCCGCAATGGGCCAAGAAAGAGCTCAGATAGCCCTGTCCTGAGCGGAACGAAGGTTAGGCTGATCAATGGACTTTGACCTAGCTAGCAGTTGATTGGTTGAGTGAAGGAGGTCGAGTTACTCTTAGCTCGATAGAACGCATTAAAGGTCAGAGATTGCACGATTCGGTCAGTAGTGGGCTGAGGTAAGGTAGCTCAATCAAACATTTATAGCCGAACATAATGTGCTTGTCATCTCACTTGGCTAGCAGTAAGGAGAGTGCTCTAAGGATAAACATTATCCTTGGGCATGTGACTCCTAAAAGCCACATGTAATCTATTAAAGCTTGTGACAGATCCTATTCTCAAGTATTGCAATTCATACTCCCGAATTCGCAGAGCTTTAGTGTCTATAGTCTATTTGCTGACTTATGCATCAGAGGGGTTTTCGGCATACATCAACCGGTTAGCTCACGTTTGTGTTTTTAGGTGATTAGACGACGATGTTTGGAGAAGCGCAAACTTGATCAACATGATTATATGAGAAAGATTATTTCGTGCTTGTACAATGCGATTCACCACTCGAGCGCACAAATGACCACTCGAGTGAAGTGGCAAACATGAAAGCCTCAAGTTCACAAACTCCTTTGCATAGGCACAACTTGGGTTGAATGCGCATCTAAACACTCACATCCTCACTGAAACATAAGAGCGAATAAAATTACAATTGAAAGGAATTTTGTCTAACGGAATTGCCAATTACAAAAACCGAACATTAAACAAATTGGTCATGACCTAAGGATGTTCTGCCAAAACTACTTGGACAACCTTAATTTGTTTGGCAAATTAGGGTTGTAGAAAACTGTTACAAATTTATTTATTTTTATTCCCATTTTGTGTGTTCCATGCAACGTCTTTTTGTTGTTGAAGCAACATTTGCAACAAACATGAATCGTTTAGGTTATGCCGAGATCTTGGATTGGAGAAGTGATTTGTGAAGAGAATTGAAAAGACATAGGAAAAGTAAAAAAATTTATATATTTTTCACTTTTATCTTGCCTTGTACTTTCTTTCTAAAACCTTTTTGCAAATAAAAAATTCAAAAATTTTCATATTTTTGTACATAACTGTGAAATTTTATAAAAGTTGACAAACTTGTCAATTTTGTAAAAACTTTGAAATTTCTCAGTTCTACGAAACAACTCAAAGAAGTGGGAACCAAAGATCTGTCTCTCTCTCTCTGTGTATCTATCTCTTTCTCTCTCTGTATCTCCCTCTCTCTTTCTCTCTCTCTCTCTCTCTCTCTCTCGTTCTCTGTATCTTTGTCTCTATGTGTTGGCTGGGTTTGATTTTTGGTTGATGATTATGATTCTGTGTATGTGTGTGTGTGTGTGTGTTGTGTTGATGATGATGTGTTGGGTGGGTTTGATTTTTTGGTTGATGATGATGATGATTCTCTCTCTCTCTCTCTCTCTCTCTCTTCTCTTCTCTTCTCTTCTTTCTTCTCCTTCTTCGAGTTATGGAAAAGAAGAAGAAGAAAAGAAAAAACAAAGAAAAAGAAAAAAAGCCAAAACGACGTCGTTTTGGGATTTCGGGCCACTCAAGCCACAGAAATTTCAAGCTACGTAGCAGGACTGATATATTTTAGGTGCTAAAAAAAAACTTACGAATTTTTAATTTTGTCAATTATTTTTAATTTGTTTTCAATCTAAACCATTTATTTATTTTCGTTAAGTAAAAACTAATGAAAAATAAATAAAAATTTAGTTATTAAACTCAATTAAAATAGTATTTTTGATATGTTATGTATACCTACATTAAATTTAATAACTAAAATATATTTTCTGTCATCAATTTTACTTAATGAAAATAGGCGCATAACATATACTGAAAATAAATTAAAAAAAATTATGATTTAAATTGATAAAATTAAAAATTTTAAAGTTTATTTTGTCACAATGATCAAATCCTCAGATATATATATATATATATATATATTATGATTTCTCCTTTTCTTTTGTTTTTTTCGTCATGCAAATTTGTCCTCACCATTTTTTGGTCTAAATTCATGAACTTCACATTCAACTTCATTCCACTGTATTGAGATGGAAAGTGGTCTTGTTGGTTTTCATCGCCTGGAAATTATTTTGTGGATAGGTTGCACCAGATTGTCACTTGGGGTACCTATTAGCTTCAGTTTGACAAATCCTTTAAACTATGGGCTGGTTTGAGATATTCAAAAAAATTCAAAAAGTCAAAAACTTATCAAAAAAATTAAAAGTTATCACTATTCACTCAAAAAAACAAAATTTAGAAACAAATTATTACAGCACAGTCTGAACCGTCCCATAGACTGTTGCTGAGTTGCTGAAATAATTTGAAAAAATTGCTCAGGCGGGATTCACAAACAACACAGTGTTGTTTGGCCCGTGGGGGCTCATCATGGGCCCCGTTTTGATAATCTCAACCGTTCAATATGTAAAACTCATCGAGTACTATATGTCTGTGCGAAATCACGTTGATCAGATATCGCTAACTATATGATTAAATTCGTTTTGTATAAAAAAATGGATGGTGTTATAGTTAACGGTTGAAAAAAAAAACTAATCCAATCAGATAGCTATCGATATCCGATCAACGTGATTTTTTTACAAGCATATAGTACTCGACAAGTTCTACACATTGAACGGTTCAGATTATCAAAACAGGACTCGTGATGGCCCCCACGGACCGAACAGTACCGTCCAATGCAATGCCCGAAAAGTAGGCAACCATTTCTTATCATCAATTCACTCATCCAGATGGTACGGCCTCCTGCCTACCGTCCTTATCTTCTCCTGTACACTAATTTATATAATTTTTTAATACACATTGTTTCGTAAAAAGTTAAAAAATTAATGCAAACAACCATTTTTTTTCCTCAACTTTTAGTCCAAAAAATTAAAAAGTAGACTTATTTAAGATACCTCAAACAACCCTATGTTTGTATTATGAATTTTGATAAATATTTAAAATATATATATATATATATATATAGATATATAAAAATGGGTGAAATTGTTTAGTTTTCGAACTAATGGATCGAAGGTGATCCTTTCAAGTGATATACTTTCAAACCTCTAAGGGTTGGCCCAGTAGTGGAGGCTTAGAACTTAGGAGTTTGCTCCTTTCTAAGTCTCAGGTTCAAAACATCTTAGGTGCTATCAACTCTTGTGTTGGGCCAGTCCATACAGTCTATACGGAGCTTTGCTATGGATTTAAATGAGTCCCTCGCTAGTGAACGGTGGGATTAATCTCTTAGTAATTAGTCGAGGTGCGCGCAAACTGACCCGAACAACACCAATTATTAAAAAAAAAGTGAATGAAGAATGCCTTCTTTTATCTTCTTGTTAGTAAATAATTAGTGGGTTCATCTATTTATTGTATATATGAATCAAAATATATTTCAAGACTGACAAATATCCATCCATATCCAATTGGATTCCAAGGTCAAGAAGACTTTGACTCTTTTTATGGGTGAATAAGAAGACTTTGATTTTGCTTTTTTATCAAATCAATCAGCCTATTGCAGCTTTTGAAAGTTCAATTAATATTTTTAAATTTCTAATATTTTAATTATTATTATTTTAAAATAAATTCACTAATCTAAATAGACTTAGAAAATATAAAATTTGTAAATTTTTACTAAATACAAAAAAAAAAATTTAGTATATATATATAATTTTTGTATTTGTTGATTTCTTTTTAAATTTCTTCAAAAATATATTTTAATTTTTTAGTATATTTAGATTAAGTGCATATACAAAAAA